GTGATAATATCGTATCGTGGGATGTATGGTGATTCCCACCTCTACTGGCTACAAGCACCATTCCTCTGCTTCCACACTTGAGGAGCTCCTGGGTTATCCTCAGTATCGGTGGATTAGTTTAGTCAGTACAAAACAATAGAAACTCGAAATAGTATCAAAACAAATAAATGACAAAGAAAAAAGGAGGCATTCGTGTCCTCAATTTGTAGCACACTCCTAAAGAAGAACGCAGAACAGTATCAGAGCTTCTCTAGAGGCTTTTGGACCAAAAACTTCTGGAAACTTGCCGAGGGGAGCCGTCCACTGGAGGGAGCGACTCTCAGAGCCTCTAAAAATGTGTGACACGTCGCACAACAAAAACTACAAATGACTGAGGGCGTTGTAATCAGAGATGGAAAACTGATAAGCTCAACGGTTACAACCAGCCTGAGGAGGAGGAGGGGCTCGCAGCAGCGCCACAGCCAAACAGTGGAGCTGTGTGTGCGCTGCTCTGACACACAGTCTGTCAGGTTTTGTATTTTCTTGTCAGCTTCTACATTTCCGCTCCACATTGCTTCATCGTGTGGATGCCTCAGGCAGCAGCTTCAGAGGAAATACAGGCAAAGTTTCTCTTCAGTAAACATCTTCTTGTGTTTCCTCTAAACTTCAGTTTGTCCGTTTTTTTTTTACTGAAGCAACAGTTAGCATTTTATAGCTATGTGTTGCTTACACAGCTGATGTTTTTAACTCAAAGTTTCCTCTTGTGACAGAGAGTGAAGTGAAGGCGATACAAAAAGGTTTCTAAGAGCAAAATACTGGAGAACTCCTACATGGCTTAAAGAGTTATGATCAAGTTCCTGTGGTCTGAAAGCACCTACCAAGTGACTAATATTTAATATTGCAAGTGAATATACTGAAATATTCACGGCACTTCTTCTGTGTTGTACAGACACAAATAAAAGTCAGTCGCTGCTCAGAAAAAATTAAAGGAACACTTTTTAACCAGAATATGGCATCAAGTCAGTTTAACTTCTGGGATATTGATCTGGTCAGGAAATGAAATTAACAGAGCACAAGACGGGCAACAATGAGACAGCCCCCATTTCTACCAGTGATGGGTCCAGATCTGGGAGGAGATCCCGGGACACCATC